TCGTTCACGTCGGCCACCTCCACGGACACGCTGGCTGTGGCCGACAGGGAAGGTGAGCCCGCGTCCCGCGCTATCACCACCACCTCATAGTTCGCCATACTCTCGCGATCCAAGGCGCTGTCAAGCACCAGCGAATAGTAATTCTTGAAGGTGGACACCAGTTTGAAGGGGACCTGGGGTGTTAGTGAGCAGGTCACCTGCCCGTTGGCGCCGGAGTCGCGGTCGGACACGCTGATCAAGGCGATGACGGTGCCCACCTGAGCGTCCTCTGGCACTGGGAGCGACAGCGAAGTGATCATTACCTCGGGGGTATTGTCATTCAGGTCCAGAACTTCCACCAGGACCGTGCAGTGACCTGCCATAGAAGGAATCCCTTTATCAATAGCGTTAACCTGAATTTCATACTCATTATTCTCTTCAAAATCCAGTTTACCATAAATCCTAATTTCACCTGTTTCTGCATTTATTGAAAACATACATTTCTCACTCACTGGCAGAATCATTCTGATTCCATAGGAAATTTCTCTATTTGGTCCTTCGTCTAGATCAGAAGCGTTTAGTTGAATCACTCTGGTGTTGTTTGGGATATTTTCAAACAGCACTACTTTATAGCCAGGCGTATCAAACTCAGGAGCGTTGTCATTAACGTCCAGGATGGTTATTTGAATCTGAACAGATCCTGTTAGTTCGGGTTTACCGCCATCCAGAGCGGTCAGCAATATATTAAGTTCTGGCATTTCTTCTCTATCCAGTGACTTCCGAAGAATGAGTTCAGGCAATATACTTTTATCGGTTTTCGTTATTACTTTAAGAGTAAAATACTCATTTAGACTTAACCTATAGGTCACAAGAGAGTTTAGGCCGATATCCGCATCGGAAGCGCCCTCTAGAGGAAAACGAGAGTCCAGAGGAGCAGATTCAGAAATAAGTACCTTTTGTTCTCCTCTGAACACCGGCGGGTTATCATTAATGTCCTTCACCTCCACCTCCACGTGGAACACCTGCAGCGGCCGGTCCACGATCACCTCCAGGTGGATGCTGCACTCCGCGCTCCGCCCGCACAGCTCCTCCCGGTCGATCCGAGAATTCACAAACAAAATGCCATTCTGCAGATTTACCTCCAGAAGGTCCCCGCGGCCTTTGGACGCCACCCGGAACAGGCGCGGCACCATCTCCGTCAGCTCCAGCCCCAGGTCCTGGGCGATGCGGCCCACGAAGGTGCCGTGTTTGGCTTCCTCAGAGACCGAATAATGGACCTGGCCGCTCCCCGTCTCCCAGGCTGCGAGGAGCAGAAGCGAGAGCAGCAGACGCCGAGCTTCGAAGACTCCTCGCCAGGAAAACTCCATTGCAGACAAAGAGATCTCTGAGGTGAGACTGTCAGTTTTAAGAGGTAGCTCGCCTGCCAACATTTATGACCAGTCTCCCCTTCTGTAAGTATATATTTAGTAAAATTTACCCAGCATTCCTGTCAGTATGGAGTCGATTATTCTGTGGATGGTTGAAATCTGGGCGTGGAGAAAAAGTTTTCCCTTTTCACCTTTTGAGTGTACAGCGACATCATGTGACTGATTATGTAAGTACAAGAAAGATCCTGAGGTTCTTTTTGGTTTAGCCACTTTTTGGTTCACTTTAAATCTATTTCGACTTTTTGGATATTTTCATGGATCATTTGTAAATGCCTATTTATTTAATATACATGATATTTTTAACAAAGCACAATAATTCTATTATACTTCAGTTTTAAAAATAGTCTGCTTCAAAGTAGATCATAAAATAATCATTGAAATATGGCATGTCAGAAGCTACTCCTTAGCTATCATGGCCAATAAAATAAAGAATAATATACATCACCTCTGCCCTTATATTGCTTACAATTCACATTTGTAATGATTTTCATCCTTCAAAAGCACTTCATTCTAAGACTTTAGGAGAAAGCCAAGAATTCCCTCATCTAGTAAAGGAAAAGAAACAAATATTTCATTCATATAAATTATTTTATTCATAAATCTGGTGAATATTATAATTCATCATAAATATGGAAGATGTTTTCGGTTCCTTGATACTCAAATGTGATTACTTTTCATACAACTGCCCTCACTCACATAATATGTTGAAAAAATGAAGCTTCGGTATGGATTCTGGAATATTTTACTCTAGCAGGAGTAAAGGATTTTCCTGTAAAATGTTGAGTCAAAGCCTCCAAATTTCATAGTATTCTGAAGTGGCAGTAGAGCACTAATATGAAAAAGATCACGTGAAATGTTTTGGAGCCCAATCTCATTGACAAAAGTCAAAAAAATATGAACTTCATAATGACCATTTAGTTTCCATCTAAATCTTTCCTTTCAGGCCAGTTAGTAGTTACACAGAATATTCTTCTCTTCAGAAAATCACAATGGTGACTATGATTCAAGGGAGAATAAAAAGACTTCATAATGTTATTCATTAATTCAAGACCAGCTTTAAGGGAAAACAAAACACAGATAAGATCCCACAGCTAGTTGTGAACAAGTAAATATATTATTTATAAGCTCATTTAAATTCAAATCAAAATCTTTAAACCAATAAGTTATCACCATTCCTTTTACATATAATAAAGGAAACTGAGAAATTAAATCTTTATAGAATCAGAAAATAATAACCAAGAATGGTTCTACAAGTATAAAATAACTTAAATCAACTACCACACTGGCTCTTAATTAATGAAAAACATATTTGAATTTTGATGCTATTGGACTATTTAAATTGTCTATCACCATCAAGCTTCTTCATTTTATATCTTCCATTTTCAAAAATAGTCAATGTACCATAATTGGTAAGCAACCTTATTGTAGTGTGTAGGTAGTCCTCACACACTGTTAGACATAATTAAACTATTAAACAGATAGGAACATCTAAATTTAGCTTAATACTTAAACAATCAAATTACAAAATAGGATGAAATTACAATTTTACATCATAGAATGTAATCCTGAAATTAAAAATAAGTATAAAAGACACTAAATTTGTACCATAGAAATTAATCCACATAATTTGGAATTATCTAAAATGTGCATTGATTACTTATGTACTGTGTAAAAGTAATGATTTGCAAAATTTTAACCTTTACTTAAAACATTCCAATTTCACATATATACACTACCAAATGTAAGGCAGATAGCTAGTGGGAAGCAGCCATATAGCACAGGGAGATCAGCTCCGTGCTTTGTGACGGCCTGGAGGGGTGGGATAGGGAGGGTGGGAGGGAGGGAGACGCAAGAGAGAAGAGATATGGGAACATAAGTATATGTATAACTGATTCACTTTGTTATAAAGCAGAAACTAACACACCATTGTAAAGCAATTATGCTCCAATAAAGATGTAAAAAAAATTCCAATTTCATTTTATTAAATTTAAATGACGTTCAGTCATTCCAAGAACTTCATTGGGAAATGGGTTATAATGTATGTCCTACCTAACATCCACATTTATTTATATTTACAAAATTTCATAAGTGATATGATGGTTTAATCACTTTTGAGTCTGAAATATTTCATATTTTAACCTTGTTGCCTAATTTGGAATAAAGAATGTTTTTAGACAATTAATATTGAGAAACAAAGTTTCATAAACAGAGGTCCAAGAATGAGCTTCAGCATGGGATCCTTGAATATTACGCTAAGTGGTATGCTGTGTAATTTTAAGGGGAGAATGGCCACATATGACTCTCATCAGATTCTCAAAGAGGTCAGTGATTCCACCATCCTACATGTGGCTAAGAACCACTGAATTAGAAGGATGACCTAGAGGTAAATGATATTTGCTAGAATCTTCAGATGTGGTTAAACCACATGGAAAGAAAATTTTACAAACACCAGCGATAAAGCATTTAAAGATAGGGAATTTAAAATGTTAGATGAGGGAGTTGAGGTTAGCAGATGTAAGCTATTATATACGGAATGCATAAAAAAATGGGACTGACAGAGAACTATATTCAGTATCCTATGATACATAATGGAAAAGAATATAAATAAATATATATATATGTTTGAATCACTTTGCTGTACAGCAGAAATTAACACAACATTGTAAATCAACTATAGTTCAATTTTAAAATGTGAGATGAATGAAATTGATAAATGTCAATAGGCTTCACTTTGACAGAGTTAACTTCTTCTTTCCACATAAATCCAGAAACATAAGAAATAATGCCAGCTAGCATATATTGCAGATATTATAATCCTATATGCATGCCTTTAGCAAATTTGAATAACTTGATTGAGGAATATGAATGATTTTATTTGCCTAGTTACTTTGGAAGCATAAACCTGGAAGTTCTGTTTCAGTACATAGTACATAAATCTCTCCCCACTTCATGGAACAAAATTAAAAATGGACAGAACTTTTAGTTATATTATTTCAATGAAATAAGCATACTAGAACAAAAGGCTGCATTTTTTTACTGCAAGTAATATGGAAACAGGTTTTATCTTATTGGTAGAGGAAAAACTAAAGATTATTCAATGGACAATAAATGTTTAAAACCATAGAAAAAGAAAGGAAAACCCCTTCAAAACAAATTAAGAGAGTGTCAAAATTTTGATACAAGCCTGAAGTGAGAAAAGTCAGTGATCTAATAATGTGAAAATATCAAGACAAAAGCCTGTTAAAAAACAAAGAGGATAAGTAAAATTGAAATAATCCACAGTGATTATCTACACTACTGAGGGTTAGAGTTGAAATGAAGTGACACAGATCAAATAACAGGAAAGTCATTCTTACATTTTCTTAAACATGTTCTAACAAAACATTAGGAGAAATAGGATATTTATTGGCTAAACAACCTAATACCTCATATGATTAAAATTGTATATGTGTATCATTGGCATTTCACGAACAAACGTTGTTCTTTAAAATGATACTCAAAGTATAGAGCATCATTAAAAATTTTTTTGAAACAAACTGGAATTTAAAAAATTTTAACAGCGACTTCAAAAGGGGGGAATCTATAGAACTCACCTGCCCAGGGTGATTTGATCCTGCCTCCTGCCTTTCCTCTCCGACTTCTCTATCCAGACCGGGAGGAAGGCTGGGGCTGAAGGCCATGAGGTCTGTCTTGGGCGGCCCCTCCCCAGAGCACACCCTCTGCCGCCTCTGCTGCGNTGGCTGTGGCCGACAGGGAAGGCGAGCCCCCGTCCCTCGCGGTCACCACCACCTCATAGTTCGCCATACTCTCGCGATCCAAGGCGCTGTCCAGCATCAGCGAATAGTAATTCTTGAAGGTGGACACCAGCTTGAAGGGTACATGATGAGTCAGGGTGCAGGTCACCTGCCCGTTGGCACCGGAATCGCCGTCAGAAACGCTGATCAGAGCGATTACCGTTCCTCGTGGAGCATCTTCTAATACAGGTAAAGAGAGTGATTTGACGACCAACTCAGGTACATTATCGTTGGTGTCCAAAATTTCCACTACAACCGTGCAGTGATCTGCCATTGGGGGATTTCCTTTATCTGTTGCTTCTACCTGGATTTCATATAACTTAGTGAACTCGAAATCTATGTTACCCTTTACACTGATGTATCCATTAACAGGGTCTATGTGGAATTTCGACAATGTATCTGCTGACATGTCTGTATTGAAAGAATACACAATGTCCTTATTTATCCCTTCATCCAAATCAGAGGCGTTAACAGTCACTACTAGGGTACCGTTTGGTGCATTTTCAAATAATCTGACTTTGTAGATCGTGCTCTCAAACTCTGGGGCATTGTCGTTTACATCTACAACGGTGATCTTCAGTTGAATAGTACCAGTGAGTACTGGTTTCCCACCATCAACTGCTGTTATAAGTAAGTGATGCTCAGGAGTGACCTCTCGATCTAAAAGTTTTTTCAGCACAAGTCCAAGGGATTTAATTTCCACATAATTTCTTTTAACATCCAAGGTAAAATATTCATTGGAGTTAAGAGTGTAGGTCAATAGCGAATTAGCTCCGATATCTGCATCTGATGCGCCCTCTAGCGGAATCCGAGAACCAGGCGGCCGGGATTCATAAATAAACAAATTTTTTACTGCCATTGGAAAAACCGGCTGGTTGTCGTTAATGTCCTTCACCTCCACCTCCACATGAAACACCTGCAGCGGCCTATCCACGATCACCTCCAGGTGGATGCTGCACTCCGCGCTCCGCCCGCA